CTAGATTTCTTTACATTCTAGATAAAAAAATAACTCACATATGTTAAGGATGGTGTTAACTCTTTCTTTCTTTTTAAAGTAATTTTTATATTTTTCATTTATAGTTGACATACAATATTATATAGTTTCAGTTATACAACACAGTGATTAGACATTTACAAAGTGAGCATCCCGATAAATCCAGCATCCGACACCGAACAGTTGTTACAATACTACCGACTACATTCCCCATGCCATACTCTACATTCCTATGACTATTCTGTAACTACCAATTTGTACCTCTTATCCCCATCTTCCTTCACTCATCTCCCCAACCCCTAATCCAGAAACCATCAAAATGCTTTCTGTATCTATGAGCTTGTTTCTGATGTTTGTCTGTTTATCCTGCTTTCTAGATAGCATATATAAGTGAAATCATATGACATTTGTCTTTCTTTGTCTTACTTCACTCAGCATAATGCACTCTAGGTCCATCCATGTTGTTGCAAATGACAAGAGTTCATTCTTTTTTATGGCTGAGTAATATGCCATTGGATATATGTACCACCTCTTCTTTATCCATTCATCCACTGATGGATACCCAGATTGCCTTCATATCTTGGCTATTGTAAATAATGCTGAAATGAAAATATGGATGCACATGTCCCTTAGAAGTAGTCCTTTCTATTTCTTAAATCTCTCATTTTTTTCTATTATTTTATTACATTAGCTAGAAATGCCAGTAAAATTGTGAATAGAGAATATTCTTCTCTTGTTTTGGATTTTTGCAGGAATGATAGAGTTTCATCCTTAAGTATGATGTCTAGGTATTTGGTAAATATCCTTATCAGGTTGATGCATTACCCAACTAATCTTAATTTGCCAAGATTAAGGGAAAATAATGAGTGTTCAATTTCATCGAGTGATTTTAATGCATTTATTAAAGTGATCACGTGCTTTTAATCTTTTAATGTATTAAGTTTCAGAATACAGGAATTACTTTCCTGGTGTTAAAACACTCTTGCATTTTTGGTTAAAATCTACTAAACATTTCTATATTTTTATATAAAATGTATTTGTTTTTTGCTTTATTATTTAGAATATTTGTATCTATAATCATAACTAAGCTCGTTCTACAGTGTTCTCACCTTTAATGGGCCTTGCCTGGGCTTTATGTTAAGGTTATACTAGTACTAGAAAATGAGTTAGGTAGCTTTCCCTTTTTTCCATCCCCTAAAACAGTTTGTATAAAATAGGGTATATTAGTCAGGGTTCTCCAGAGAAACAGAACGAATAGGATGTATGTGTGTGTGTGTGTGTGTGCAGAGAGAGACAGACAGAGGAGAGAGAGGATGACTTATTACAAGAAACTGGCTCACGTAATTATGGAAGCTGAGAAGTCCCAAAATCTGCAGTTGCAAACTAAAGACCCAGGAAAGCCGATGTGTAGTTCCACTCTGAGTCTGAAGGCCTGCAAACCAGAAGAACTGATGGTGTAACTTTCAGTCCAAAAGCCAGCAAGCTCAAGACCCAGAAAGATCAGATGTTTTAATCTGAGTAAGAAGGTCAGAAAAGACTAATGTTCCAGCCCAATGCGTCAGGCAGGCCAAGTTCCCTCTCACTCAGCCTTTGGTTCTGTTCAGGTCTTCCGCTGATTGAATGAGGCCCACCCATCTTATGGAGTGCAATCTGCTTACTCAGTCAACCAATTTAACTGTTAATCTTATCCAGAAATAATCTCGTAGATACACCCAGAATAATGTCTAATCAAATATCTGAGCACCCCATAGCCCAGTCAAGTAGACACATAAAATTAACTACCACATAGGGAGAATATGTTGTTTTAAGAGCTGGGAAACTCAACTGTGTCATCTATCAAGTGTATTATCCTTTTTGTGTGTTTGTTCAGGTGGGGAATTGGGCTAACTTATTTTTCATGAGGATCATTTCTTTGGAGCCATTCTGCCCTGCAGGGACCCACCTGGGGCTAGTCCTTCCTGTTTCCCTTTGAGGAAGCCTGATCTTCCCTTAGTCCCTGAAGACTAATAGGGTCCAGGAGACTAAAGGAACCGAGAACCACAGTCTGTTTTATCTGAAGAAACTGCTGGCTTTGGGGCTACACTATTTAGGGATTTTGGATTTAGCATAACCATTACGAAGTCATTATTTTAACTGACCACTAGAGGACAGTAATGGATCAAGAATGGGGACAATATGATAATGCTAACATTTGGTAGATAAAAAGGTGGGTTTTTCCTATTCTGCCCATAAGGACCTTGAGATTTAGAGACGCTCAGAAACTTATCCAAATCATGTATTTCAATACATAGAAAATCTGGAATTTTAACCCTAAAATCCATCATTTCTTGTATGAGTACAATAAACAATTACTCTTCTTTCATTCCTTTTCATTCATTCATTCATTCATTCATTCACTCATTTGAGAGCACCATAGCAAAGTGGCTAAGAATTCAGTCTCTGAAGTCAGACCACTTGGATTAAAATTCTGGCTCCATCACATACTCACTAGCATGAGAGTCCTACACCTGTTTTCTCATCTGTCTATGGGGATGTTAGGATTCACCTCATAAAACTATTGAAAAAGTGAAATGAGGTGATACATGAAAAGTGTTTGGAACAGCATCTGGCACTTAGTAAATACTGAATAAATTTGAGCTATTGTTATTACCTCGAACAATATTTATTGACTGCTGTCGTCTAATGCCACTGTTGTAAGTATGGGGAGTGGAACAACCACACCCACACAGAGACATCCCTGCCTTCTGCAGCTTCTAGGGAGGGAGATCAACAATAAACAAAATAAGAAAAATTTTGTGGAAGGGGAATAGGGAGTGCTGGGGCTGGGGGACAGAGATGCTCTTGTGGAAATTAAGTTCTACTTCACTTCTCTGAAAGCGTCAGCCCTTTTCATCCTCACAAGCTGAAGTTCAATTCACCTACTGCATGGAAATCGACCTTAATTAGGAAAGAAATCCTGACTCTTTTTCTTACACCTCCTTACGGGGTGCCCAAGCCCCACCGCATATGTTAAATCATTATCTCTGGGGCCTGGGCACTGATCTTTTTTAAAAGTATCTAGGTGTTTCCAACAAAGAAGTGGACTTAAGTCTGAATACTCCTCCTCCCAGTCAGCCGTGCGCACCACTCCAAGCGGGTGCTTCCTAAAAAAGGTCTGACCTTGGCATTTGCCTGGCAAAAACCTTCCATGGATTCCATCATCTACAGACTGAAGCCCGACTCTGCATGGCACTGACGACTTTCACAGTTTGGATCCAGCCTCATTCCATTAACGACATGAATAGTTATGATTGACTGAGCGTTTCATATGATACAGGTATGGTACCGGGCTTTATGTGTGTTACCCCATTCACTTCTCACCTAAGCTGAGGAGACGGTGCCTTGGCTCAGTTTCCTCATCTGTAAAATGGAGACATTCCAAGAAAAACTTTTAGTACGATGTCTGGTACATAGTTAACGCTCAGTTAACAGTAGCCATTGCTGCATCATTCCCATTTTAAAGATGAAAAAGTTGAGATTCAGGGAGTTAAGTAATTTGCCCAAGGCCACAACCCTGATAAGTGACAGAGATGGAGCCTAAACCCAGGAAGTCTGGCTTCGGTGCCCAGACTAGCCTACCTTTTTCTCTGCGGTGGAGGCTCTATGCTCAATTTAGAGCCGGCTTCCAGAACTCAGTCTCCAGGTCTTTGCATATACAGTTCCTTCTGCTGTTAGAATGCCTCCCTTCATCTTCCTCCAGGAAGCCTTCCTCCCAGCACTCCCTCCCCCGTGACCACCCTGTGTCAGATACCCGCTCTGTGTCCCCTCAGCCTTCTCAACAGACCACTTCTCCACTCTCACCTCACCAAACTGTCACTTAAAGGGTACACTACCTCAGGGTGACAGTGCCCTTGTCACCTCTGGCTCGGCCATGCCTCGCCTGGCTCAGAGCAGATCTCCGTGAATGTTTGTTGGATTTGTTGCAAGCCAAATCCATCGGAGAGAACCAGGCCAAGAGTAGAGAACAATACCTGCTGGCAGGGACGCCTGCCTGTTCTCGGCTGTCACGTGCGTTCCAGGGCCAGCACATTCACACTTTTCCTTGGCCAGCGCCTCCTCACCATTGGTCGGAACTTCCAGTCCCCTGGCCCTGGCTCTCACTTCACTCTCCAGCCTCCCCTCACAGTTAGTCAAAGGTTCACAGCTACAGGGGCCTGTGCGATGATCCAGCAGCCTGAGTCTGGAAGATTCCTTGCCTCTCCAGTTCATTTATTCAACAAATGTTTATTGAACACCGACTTTGAGCCAGGCGCACTGCTTGACTCCGGATATAGGGTAGAGAGCAAACCAGCCATGGTCCCGGCCTCACAGAGCTTACATACTGGTGAGAGAGATGGTTAACTAACAAGTACACACATAAGTGGATGTGCAATGGCAAGTTCCTTATGAAGGGAAGGAATAGGGGACTTCGAGACAAGTTAACTCTTGAAGCATAGTAGTCAGGGAAGGCCTCTCTGAGGAGGCGACCTTTAAGCCAAGGCCTGAGGGTATGAAGAGGGCATGTAATGGGTAGGGGAAGAGCATTCTGGGCAAGGGAGGAGCATATGCAAAGTCTGGGAGGTGGCAACATAGTTGGAATGTTGAGGAAATGAATGAAGGTGGACCAGGGTGGCGGAAGCACAGGGAGCAAGTTTGGGATTGGCAAGAAATGAGGCTGGAAGCGAGGTTGAAACCAGAAGAGGAAAAGCTTGGATTTCATCTTTGGAATAATAGGGTAAAAGAGTAAAGGTTTTAAACCAGAGTTGATATGATACACTTTGCATGTTTAAAGCTCTCGCTGGTTGCTGTTGAGAACTGATTGACAAAGCAAGAGAGGAGGAAGGCGACCTATAGCGGGCAGTGATCTGGGGGTTAGGTGACTGTGGCCAGACCAGGGGCATGGCTGTGGGTCCAGGGAGAAGTGGACGGACTCCAGATATTTAAGAAGTAGAATCACTCAGAAGTTTCCAGAAGAACTAAACTTTATTTGATGTCTGCAACAACCCCAGCAATGGGGTAGGAGTCGAAGGTATCAGTGAGGCTCGGAAATATAAACAAAAGATACAAATCCTCAACCATGGAAACAAACACGTCCAGTCACCTTTCCCCCCACAATCTCTCAGGAGAATAAACTTGAGATCAACTAAGATGCTGAAAGTTCTGGGCTATCCCACCTCATTCAATGATGTGAACAGATTCTTTCGGAATTGGGTGCTGGAAACATGGAACCAGGCTTCCCACAGCACCAGAGCGTAAGTGCTGGATTCTCAAGTTAGGAAGTTGCCAGGACTGCAGCACTGACCTGATAACCTTGGGAGCAGTGAGCCACCACCTGAGATAGGGAGGGAGAAGAGGAAGAGGGGGAGGGAGCACCCCAGGCCAGTGACTCCCTCTCTCCTCACTGCTGCACAACACGGATGGGCCCAGGAGGGCAGCAATCTGATGGAACTAACACTGCGAAGTGAAAGACTTACTTAGCTCTTTATGCCTCCTGAGGAATGTGCCTTTTCAAAAGAGCTTTCTGGGTCATTTAAATGATCTTTGCCCTTTGACCCACTTCTCTGAAAGGGCCCTTTTTCCCCAGGGTTTTTACAAACTCTACTTTTGAGCCCATGGAGTCTCCTCAATTCAGCTTCTAGGGAAGGTAGTTCCACCAAAGGGTGGAGATGGGAGAATCTTCCCAGGAGTGACCTTCAAAAAATATTTCATAACGAGTGCGGAATAAGCACCAGAGAACGAACTGCCAGCTGGAGGACTCCATGGCCTTAGGTCGGCCAGGCATAATGAGGTCCTGGGGGCAAAGCCGCTTGGTGGAAGGGGGCACTCAGGGGAAGCAGGTATTTGCCAATGAGCACAGGAGTGTTTCTACATTTTACAGCGGGTCTGGCAACACCGGTCCCGCTGAATGTCAGTCCTTGGTCTGCTCCAATCTTGTTCGGCCTCTGATCTTCCACCCGGAATGGCAGCTGGGATATTTGTTCCCTCTGTTAGAGGAAAAGTGGCCTGAGTTGGAGATGGGTAATGAAATGGCCTCTGAGCAAAGCCAGCTGCATGGAATCTTGGGTGAACAGGATCTCAGGCCCTCGACCCACTATGTGACCTTGCAGGGCCAAGCCGCCTGACAGTCCTTCCTCTTGCCCCTCCTTGCAGTTATTTTTGTCCAGCCTGACAGCCCTTGGCTGTCCTAGCAGTCTGGGCTCCATGAGCCGGATGCAAACCAGGCAGTACAAGTGTCTGGTGCTGAATCCCAAGAGGATTCCTCTCTGGGCGCCATCACGTGGGAATATAGCTCTCCACACTGTGCAACCAATAGGGACCACATGCCTAGAGGATGGTGATGGTGCGAGAGGCAAAGAACTGGGCTTTCTGCTGGATCCTGGCTTCTGTCTGTGAGCGCTGTCCCAGGCCTGGGGGTAAGGATATCCTGTCATGGAGCCTAACTGCTGCCAGGAAACCTCCCAGCTGTGTGCAGGGAACTGTTGGTCAGCTGGAGGGTGGGTGTCTGAAGCTGGAAAGAGGGCAGGAGCAGGCCCAGCTGGGCCTCCAACCCCCAGGCTCTGGCCGTGGTAGACACAGGGCCATCCTGTGGTTCACTGCGATGTGGTGGGCCGAAGACAGGTGGGCAGGGGCAGACAGGGTTCTCAGGAGACCTCTCTGTGGCCCCTGCTCTATTACTGTCTCAGGAAGTGAGGCAGACTCCATGTTCTGTTCCCTTGGGCCTTGGAAGGCTGCACCTAGTCAGTCATTGTTCCTGGTTGGGGTTTGATCTCTCTAAGGAAGCAGCTAGCCTCAGGCTACTGTACCTTTTAGGTCAGATCTTTGTTCCCAGAGCTGAGATTCATGCCAGCTGCCCCATGCATACTAGAGTAGGAAAGGGGTCTGGGCACGGCGCTTTGGGGTCTCCTGGGACTCATCTGTCCAGGGAAGAAGCTAGACCAGCTTCTGAGATCAAAACAGCACCAGGAGATCTGGGTGGACAAGCTTGGATGAGCAGTGAGGAGGGGAGATGGGCCAAAGGAGGAGGGGGCCTCTGTCAGGAGAAGACACCTTCATGCATGAGCCAGTCCAGGAGGCAGGACAGAAAAGGCAGCGCCACTTTAAGAGCTCCAGCAAAAGGAACTCTCCTCACTCCTGGGGGTGGGAAAGCCAGCTCAGAACGCCCCGACTTCTGTGATTTCGGAGACCCAGGAGTGGCAGAGCACAGCTCCTGTGGGCCTCCCAGCTGGCCCCGGGGAAGAGGGCCTGGGGGCAGGAACAGTTGCATAAGCAGGGGACCCTGTAACTCCAGGGGGTGTGGAGGAAGAAGACCGCAGGAGGGGTGCCATGTGGCTGCTCCTGGCAGCCCTGCTGCTGGAGGCCATGGGCAGGGGGACAGCTGGCCTCTCCAGAGGGCGGGCCCTCCGGGTAGAAGGCACCCCTCGACTGGGCAGCAAATTCCTCCGGGCTGGCAGGACAGTGCCAGCGGCTCTGCGCACAGGAGTGGCTCGGAGGGCTGGGATGGGGTACGTAAGCGAGGAGGCGCTGGGGAGGACGGGGCCGGGCACTCTTCCTAGGATGGCGAGCTGGCTGCTTGGGACTGACAGCCCTGGACAGCTATGGAAGAAGGACCAGGGCCAGGCAGGAAAGGCCAAGTGCCCAGTGGGCGTGGGTGAAGGCTCCATCTCGGCTGCATAGCTGTTGAGGTGGGAAAGAAGGCGAATCCGGACGGGGTCCGCACGGCTGCTGGGCCCTTCCAGGACTCCCAGGTACCTGATGACTTCAGTGAGGCACTCCCGGAAACCGATGCTCCGGAAGTCAACTGCCAGGGCTCGGGCATCGAAGAATCCTGCAAAGAGAGGCATGATGAGGGCATGCCCGGCAGGGCACACCTACCGAGCCTGGAAGCAGTCTCTCTGAGTTCTGGACCTGCCTCCCCCATTCACTCCCTGTGTGCCCTTGGGCATGTCCCCTCACCTCCCTGAGTCCCAGTCTCCCCACTTGTAAAGTGAGAATCATCATCCTACTGGGGTAGAGGGGGTGGGTTATGAGGATCAAACGAGTTCACTAAATCACGAAGCATTATGAAATGTAAAGTATTGTTTTCAGCACAATTCATGACTAATACAAAGAAGAAACTCTGTGATCGAGATGTCATTTAAGTAGACAGTTGCCGGATGTGCAAGGGCTGTGCACATGGAGGTGGAGAACAATCCTGCCTGCTGACACGGTCCCCTTGGAGGGATCCCCTTGGAGAAGGCAGCATAGTGGAGCAGTGAAGCCTGAGGTCCTTGGAGGCCAGCAGAGCTGGGTCCAAATCCCAGTTCTGCCATTTCACTAGCTGCCTGATGGTGGACAAGTCTCTTAATCTCTCTTTGCTTCAATTTCTTTAGCTATAAAATGGACATATAACAGTACCTGCTACAGAGAATCGTGAAGGTGAAATAAAATAGCACACAGAAATGCTCAGAAAATTAAAAATTAGCTATCATTTATATTACTGGCTTGGCCCCTATAGGAATTACAGTTTGTCCTCCAGCCCAAAGGGCAGTCTGGAAAGCAGGACCCCTCTTTGGTCCTCAGCTGCTGCCATCGGGCTGGGGACCCTCTCTTTGGCTGATGTCAGTGAGGAATGATCAGGTGGACTACCCACCTGATCATTCTCACTGCCTCCTTATACCTGCCCTTCTCTCGACCACCTTCTGGGCAGAGACAGAACAGCCTGGGTGAGCACTGGCCTCATGACTATGGCAGCAAACATCTGGTTCATGGCTGAGGCCTCCACAGAGGGACAGCTGGACAGGAGATGACGTTTGGAGTCAGGCCTCCTTGGCAGCAAGTATATTGGCTCTGTAGTAAACAAAGCTGTGCTGACTTCAAGTAAAACCCTTCACATTCTGTGCTCACCGTTCTTTTTGAACTAACATTTGTTGACTTCTTACTAAGCACTTAATTTGTATTGTCTTAATTTTATTGAGACAATTCTATGAAAACAATATTGTCTTAATTGTATTCATTGTATGGTATTAATTTTCATAAAATCCTTTCATTATTCCTATTTTAGAGATGAGGAAACTGAGGCATAGAGAAGTTAAATCATTTGTGCACAGCCCTTGCACATCCGGCAACGGTCTACTTAAATGACATCTTGATCACAGAGTTTCTCCACGGTCATAAAGACAATTAGTAGTAGAGTCAGGATTCAAGGCCAAAGCCAGTGCTCTCAACCACAATTGTGTTTTCTCATTAACCCTTAGCCAGAAGATAGGGAAGACAGCAGCCCCGTTCACGAGGTTCTTGAGAAAACCAAATGCGATAACATTAGTCAAAGCATTTTGAAAGTACAAATGCTGCCCAGATATTTGTCACGACTTTCCTTTTAATTGGATGACCGCAAATGTAGTTTGAAATATCTCCCCCACTGTTTGTTTAGAGACAGAAGTTTGCACCATTGACCGTGCGTTCCTCTGGCAGAAGTTCTCAGAGCGACCACCTGCATCAGAGTCATCAGGGGAGTTTGCTAATCTTGCAAATTCCTAATCTCCAATCCACACCCACTGCCTCAGAATCTCTGGGGTGTGACCCACAACTCTGCCCGCTCACAGATGACAGTGCTGCACACTGAGGAACACCAGGTTGGGCCACATAAAATGTGACTGTCCTCTCCAAAGGGAGCAGGTTAAGGTTTTAAGACTTAGGTTTTTGTGGCCGAGTCTCTGGAGCTTTCAAGGTTTTCCCTACTGCAAAATTGCCAAAATACAGAGAGGCTGCATGTAGACAAAATTTCTATTTGTTCAGAGTTCAAGCCACAGTTGCATGAGTCTATCGTAATAGACTAGCTCCAAATAACAGAAGGAGTTACATTTGTATTTTACTACAATCCCACTACCGATCTTCGGCTGTGGGCATGACATATCAGCCCAGTACTGCCAATGACACTATAGCCCAGAAGGCTAGACCAGTGGATAGGCATGCCAGTGAACCATCTGTGCCTAAAAACCTCAGGCAGGCTCGTTCCACCAGGATCCCAGTGAGAATGAGCTCATTCAGGCTAATGCTTAACGAGGTCCTGGCGGGTAAGGTCAGTAGTAATAGTCTGTTGGAGAAAACCTCCTCCGAGGTCTAGGCTGGAAGGAGTAGAGTTGAGGAAAGGGTTGGAACAAATGGAGACACTGAGGGTGGAGAAGAGGATGCTGAAAAAAGAAGACAGACGAACTTTACAAATGTTCCACCTGCATTTGCTTCAGTCTCTCTACAGACTGTGAGCTCCATGAGGGCAGGGACCACTTCTACTTTGCTCACCAGTGTATCCCCAGGGCCGAGCCCTGAAATGCTGGCTGCATGAATGATTCCCAGGAGAACAGAGCATCAGTACCTGTCCCACCAGTGGCGTGGAGCATTTTCAAGTGATCTACCGTCATCTGCAGGACCTCAGCTTTCTCCAGCTTGGAGGAGCCCTGTGTGTACGGGAGACAGAAGGGTGAAGTCCCCCAGCTGAACTGTGTCACTCACCTCCCCTGCACAGTGCCATTAGCACTCACTGTCTCAATTTTCTCATCTTCCTCCAGCCCCACTACTGTCTGCAACTGGGCTTCTGCTTCGGCCAAGGTCTCCGAATCCAATAAATTCTCTTCAGGTCTCGTGTTAGTCCACTTGTCCACTGCACTGCTGACCATCTTTCCTGAAACCCCTGCTCCCTTGACTTCCATGACACCACTTTTTCTCGGTTCTCCTTTCACCTTGCCTCTTATTCTGCTTGTCCCTTAAAACGATGGTGTCCCCAGTGGGTGTTGGCTCACTTTCACGCTCTGCACACTCCCCAGAGGGTCTTGTTATCTCTGTGGCTTCATTCACCATCATCAGAATGCCACTCCTGCATACCCACCCGCCTCTTAGACCAGCTCTACTGAGGATCCAGCTTCACATTCACCACTCTCCAAGTCTAGCTCATCTCACCCCCAAAACACTTCCCCTTCCTCTATTCTCTTGGGAAATGCTTTCTAAGCCTCCAGCATCACCCGGTCTCCCAGGTGAAACCTGAGGGTCAGACTCCACATGAGGCCCTTGAGGACAGGAAGCAAGTCTAATTCATGGCTGGTCTTATGAAGGCTTTAGTGAGTCTGTGGACTGACTGACTCGTTTTCACCAGCAGAAGGGAAGTCACATGACTTATGACCATGCCTTGGAACAGAGGGTGAGAATCCTCGAGGCTGTCTGATTGATTCGACTGTCTGACTTCTCGCTGTTGTCCCTCTGCTCCAACATGATCAATGGCAGAGTGCTCACTCCCTGAGCAGCCTGCTCCACTTTCAAATAGCTCTGAAAATGTGAGCTGTGCAGAGGAATAAGGCGCTTTATTTATTAGTTGTGTGACCCAGCATAAGTTACTTCACCTCTCCGTGCTTCAGTTTCCTTACCTGTGCAATGGGCATAATCATCTCTATCCTTCAGGGTCATTTTGAGGGTTCAATTCAACGGGATGATGGTCATAAAGCCATAACACCTGAGACACCTCAGGAAGTATAAATTTCCATTCTCCTTATCCCTAGGGGGCTGCTGACAGATAACAGTAAATGCCATCATGGCACTTTGGGCAGCTGCTACCAGTCAATAAGAGAGGCCATGAGACATGAGCCTTATCTGCCAGCCAAACAGCCTTTCCTCTAGCACAATCAGCAACGTCACATACCTGCTTCTCAAAGGCAGTGGGGACCAAGCGCCGCAATTCAGAAAGGCTGCTGTTGATGCGGTCTCGGCGCCGTTTCTCTATGATCTAAAAAACGATGACGAGAAGTTACACAAAGGCACTTCATGAATTTCCAGCGTGCCTTGATGGACATTGACTCATACTTCTTTCACAATATTTTTGTGAGGAAGATAAATCTATTCTTACTTTATGGAGGAGGAAACCGAGGCTCAGAGAGGGGCAGTGATTTGTTTAAGGTCACACAGCAAGAATGTGCAAAACTGGGAGAAGAATTCGGATCTCTTGTCTGGGTCTGTAGCGGGGAGAATCTTCAAAATGTTTAACTATTGGTACAGCAGGGCACCAACCAATCAGAACAGGGACACCTGCCATAGCACTGGAGCAGGCCCCGGAGGCCCCCACTGGGCCATTGGTACTCCTTCAGGTGCTGGGTCATGAGGCCTGAGGAGTCAAAGGCATTGCCCTCTCCAGCTGCCAAGGCCTTTCATTCATATCATCTCGTTCTCACCTCACAGTACTGGTAGCAGAATGCTGCTAGCAGTGCAGAAATCATGACCCCCATTTCATCAGTAAAGAAAACGAGGGCTGGACAGAAGTGGTTTGCCTAAGGTTTTATGGTTAGTGAGTGGCAGGGCTTGTCTCCGTCAGATCCCAGGTCTCTGAGCTCCCAGCGCAGAAGCACAGCTGCATCTTGGGGGGAAAGCGGGGCTGGGATGAGATAGCAAACAACAAGCAGGGGCTCTTCCTTTTTCTGTCCCCCTCCCTCACCCCTCTGCACATAGAAAATGAAAGTTCTGGGCTCTGTTAGAAGAGGAGAAAGGCTGGAATAAATAATAATGGCTAACTATGTGTTAGGTATTGTTCTAAGTGTATTACATTAATTCACTTAATCTTCAAAACAACATTTTGAGGTACATACTATCATTATTTCAGTTACACAGTTGAAGAAATGAGGCACAGAGAGGTTAAGTGTCTTGCTCAGAGTCACCCCCACTAGCTACTGGCAGAGCCAGGACTTGAACCCAGGCAGTCTAGCGTGAGGTGATGTTTCTGACCAGGGTTCTCCAGGCCAGGCCCTTGGGGCCCCAGGGTAAACCTCTGTTGGGCAACTCTGCTGAGACACTCACCCCTCTGCGTTTCTTCCTGGCTTGCATCTGTGAAGGGCTGGGGGTAGACAGCGGCCTGGCCATCTGGCTGGAGAGGAAGAGAAAAGCAAATTCTTCAGAGATGGGGGATCATCTCCCTGGCCCGGGGTGACCTCGTAGGCGGGCACAGCCCTCTCCTGGGCGGCTGTGGTCTCCCAAGCAGGGAGGAGGTGCAGGGCAGGCGTGGGAGGGGACATTCTCTCCCCTTCTCCCAGGAGCCCATTTCTCCCTGAGCCAAGTCCTCCCTTGCACTTGGTTTCCTGCCCCAGGGGCGGCTGGGGCCCCTGGGGTGGGGGTGGGTGGCCTTGGCTCTTGCCCCTGCCCCACTCTCCTCTTCACTGCGGCCAGAGGGCGGGTGTTGGGAACCGCAGCCGGCTACTCTGGCTCCTGCAAAACGATCCCCAGGCGGGGCGGGCGAGGGCACGGGCCAGCGGCGGCGGGGCTGGGCCGGCGGGTTGGGTTTCAGAGGGAGCCGCTGGGAACGAGCGTGGAAAGAGCAGATGCCGCCGCTTCCCACGGGCCCGGCGCGCCGGCCGCCCGCCCTCCGCTGGGGCTGCAGCTGCCGCCGCCTCCCACGCAGCACGGCTGGGGGTAAGGGGGAGCGGCATCTGGGTCACAGGCCCCTCTCTGACTCTCGGGACACTGCCCTGGCTTCCCCCAGAAGGCCCCATCCCGCCTCACTACGGCCTTCCCTTCGCAAGCCTGGCTAAAGGATGGATGTTTGCTCGCAGCCCAGAAGCTCCCATCACAGGGAAGAGGCTCAGCTCTCGAGGGCTTTTCCTGCCCAGACTGACCCAAATCCTCCCCGGCCCAACTGCTCGCCCTCTTAAAGGTTTCCTGCTTCAGAGGCCCTTTCGGAATGGAGGGAATTCGATAGGTTGCACCGAGGATCATTCATTTGGCCAACACCGGGGAGGTCCCATTCAGGCCCAGGTTGGACTGGATAGGTCAGCTAGGCCCCACCTTCCAGATGAGCAGCTCCCATGGGGAGGCACCATATCAACAGATAACCTTAGACAAAGGGACTCCACTGCCATTTCAAATGGAAAATGCCACACATCTTAGGAGCCCATGAGCTTGCCTCCACCTCAAGCTTCTCCTCTTCCCCCTGGGTTCCCATCTCAGGAACGCCAACCCAGCTCCCAGTTCTGCAAGATGGACACCTGGCCACCATTTCTGATTCTGATTCAGTCTTCACCCCACCCTGTCAAATCTACTTGTTCCATGTCTAAAATACATCCCACATCTGTCGTCATCTCCACTGCTGCTCTCAGGACCAAGCCTCTATCACCTTTCTTCTGGACAACTGCAAGAGTCTATTGTTTGGGTTCCTCTGTGCCCCCCTGTCATTCTCTACAAGCAGGGAGAGTGATCATTTAAATGCAAATCTGATCTCATCACTCTCTTAAAACTCTTTAGGGGCTTCCCAATGATTTTAGGATCAAGGCCACTATCTTTCAGCTGGTCCAGCTGGCCCCTGTCACCTCCCAGACTCAACTCCCTTTTACGCTATGTGCTCCAGCCTATGACTGTGCTAACTTGTTCCTGTGGTTGCACATACTGTTCCCCTAGCCTAGAATTCTCTGGTCCATCCCATCTTCCCACCTCCAAGCCCCAGCTCCTTTGCCTAATAACTTATACCATCTTTCAGGTCTCAACTCAAATGTCACCTTCCTGGGGGAGCTTTTTCTGACATCCCCCTTTCCATTAGGTATCCCTTACTCTATACTCTCCCAGCATCCTGCATTCACATCAGTTATACACATTTGTTGTTTTATAGTTACACGATTATTTGATTAATGACTATCTCTCTCCAACAAGTCTGTAAGCTCCATGAGGCCATGAACCATGTCTGTCTCATTTTGGTGTTGTAGCCCCTGCACTCAGCAAGTGCTTGGAATGTGGCAGAGCTTATGGTTGAGCTCCCTCTTCCTGCCCTCATCTTTGGCATTACTGGGAACAGAGAGGTGGCATCATAAAATCTATGTCCTATGCCTTTGTGGGATGGGGACAGGAGGGTCCTAGCCCCCATGACTACCCGTTTGGTATCAGAGTTTGGATCATTTTCATCAACTGCTCAAAGAGAAAAGATTGCAGGAGAGACCAGATGAACATTTGTCAGATTCTGCTGCTAAGCTCCTGGCTTTGTCCAGCCACATCTGGAAGAGGATATCTACATCCAAACATCTGGACGAGAAGGGCTGGTAAGTGAAAGCTCCTGGGAGAGATGGACCAGCAAGCTAGGTCCAGGGATCAGATGGCCAGATCCTGTGATCTGTAGGGCAGCTTGTTTACAGAGCTTCACTCGGGACAAGCCCTAAGAGCCAAGGTATACTAAGAAACCCAGCCTTTGTCCCCCCAGGCTGGATAAAGCGTCTCTAGGGGTATTGGGTTATCACTGTGCACGTCACTGCCTTTCAGCCTGATCCTTCCTCAGGGACCATCTGTTGGAGGCTGATGCACCCCTTTCAGGGCAGGAGGCTCTGCCATTCCTTTTTCCAGCTTCCTAGTCCCTCATTCTTTGCAGTATTATCCCCTCACCCCCACCCCACTCCCTATCTCGCAGGCAAACCTCACTTCACCATTTTCTTGGCATCGCTATGTACATTTCCCGCCTGTGAGCCTAACAAAAACCCCATTTTACAGATGAGGATGCTGAGGCTTGCGGAGCTAAGGCAGGTTGCCCAGCTTATGCAGCTGCTAAGGAGAGAAGCCGACATAGGAATCCATGTCTTCTGGCTCCAAATCCAGCATTGTTTTCCCTCTTAATTCCTATTTCCTGTCTGTCTGAATAGCCCTCCAGTCAGTCCCCTTATCCTTAAAGCTCCCAAGAGCTCAGCCTGAGCTCACTTCCAGGCCGTGATCTGGCCCTAATATTGGAAGGAGGTACGAGAACATCTTGGCCAAGAGTCTGAAAATAAGGCAGATTTTCAGGGACCCAGAGAAGATATGTTGACCACCAAGATCTGCTCCATTGGCCTCGAGTGGTCCCTAGCCAGTATTCTGGGATGGTCTCTTGAGGTGGAGTCAGTTTTCTAGGTGGTCTGACTACCAGTCCTGACCACCCTCAGCACTTATCTTCAGTTTCCCCTTGGGAAGGCCCCTTTGGAGCCCTTGTAGATAATCCTACTCATTTTACATCAACCAAAGTCCCCAATGAAAGAATCTCAGAGATCACTGAGACCACTAGTAAAATGAAGAAACTCAGAGAAGGAAAGGGATCTGTTCCAGGCCACACAGCAAATTAGAGGAAATTCCAGAACTAGAGCCAAGTCTACTGGCGTTTAATCCAGTGTTCTTCCCAGCGTACCCCAAATATTCATCGTCCCATCTTGTATATCACATAGCCAGTACTTTTTGTTCTAGACAGAACATCCATATTAACTTGTCTCGTTTATTGCATAATAGCCTTGTGAATTAAGTATTATGGGGGCCATTTCACATTTAGGAAAAACAATCATTTGATAAATGTAGCAACAGAGACACAAAGAGTTAAGAATCATGCCCAGTAAGTCCAGTTTTCAGGCTTCCAGTCTTTTCATTAGACTATGATGCCTCGTGAACACGTACCCTCCAACTGAATGGTGACCCCTTAGAGAACAGCATTAATTGGAAGTTACCTTGTGCCAAAGCAGGGAGCTATACAGTTTAGGTTCATTATTTCATTGAAGGCTTACCCTGTGAGGTAGGAATTAGCTTCTCCATTTTGTAAGGAAGAAAACTGAGGTTCGAAAATGCCCAAGTTAATGGTGGTAAGAGTCAAACTCAGGTCCATCTGACTTCAAAGGCCACCATGTGCCTTAAATCATATAGGAACAACCCACAGATCCTGACCCAGTGCCTCACATGTGGAAGCTGCTCATTAAATGTTTGCAGAGGGGAAGAAGAGAGGCTATATTCTCAGTTGGGCCCCAGCATGTCAGGGGGCTGGGTTCAGATAGGAGTTCTATGGGCAATTCCCACGGATGGGGCAGGATATCACCACTGGGCAGATGCCCACAGTGACATGGAACACACTATGCTCTTTACTCTCATGGATCTGAGTGTGGGGGCTTTGCGCCCTGCCTCTGACCCCAAGGAGGCTGGCTGCCCTAGTCCCGTGGCCCTTGCCACTGTTTATCTGGCTGTCTTTGTACATTAAGCTCTTCTTCTCTGAGAGTTCCCTGAGGGCAGAGGCTGAAGCAGGATACATCTGGGCCCCCCACACCCAGCCCAGGGTCTGGGCCACAGCAGGCATCGTTCAGGCTCCCTGAATTGAAGTATTGATGTCTGCTGGAGGGGAGGGCCCTTTGGAGAGTGCTACAAAGAGAGGTCTATAAGTCAGCTCTGCCAGATGGCCAACTGCTTTCTCTCCTCTGATGGGATCTGCTCCTCTAAGGATTGAGACAGTCTCTAAAAATGGGCTCTGGCTGAAAGGACAAAATGCTATATATGAAAAAAAAAAAACAAAAACAGATCACTAATCCTTCAGGCTACAGCCCAAATGTCGCCACCTTCGAGAAGTCCACCCTGTCACCTCTAGTTGTTGTAAGTGACCTCTCCCTGCTTGGGTGTCTTCACAACCCACAGTCTGTCTCTCCTTCCATCTTCCATGCTGTCTGTGATCTTTGTGTGACCTGGTAGGTCATTGGCCAGGCTGGAAATTATTGAAAGACCAAAGCCAGTTTTGATCAGCCTAGCTCTCTGGCATCAATTCCGTGCCTCTGAGTCATGAAGACCCAATGACATTGAATTTGAGACCCTCCTCCAGGACCACAATGCGGTGTTAGGCCCTTCCTCTGCTCCTAGCAGGCACAGACTCAGAGAATTTCTTCTCTGAAGTGCAGTTTCTGCTAAACAATTATAAAGGCTACTAAGCTGCATAGGAAATTGTACTGTATACCCCCGAACCTAATGTATAGGATGCAAGGGGAATACCTATTGCCTTACCTCCTATTATAAGCTATAAATAATTAAAAGCTGGTGGCATTTTCCTAGGATTTGTGATGGATCCCCTGGTCTCAGAAAAATGGAGATCACTGAAATTATGAAATGTCCTCAAAAATGTCCCTAAGAATGAACTGAATATCCCTTCCAATTCTATCCCAGGGAGTCAAGTTCGGATGCGTCAGGAGAGTTCAGGGAGCCCTCTCTTTCCCATTCCCAGTCCTCCTTTAGTTTACTGCTGAGGAAACAGGCTCACAAAGGGAAAGCAATAGCCCAAGGTCACATGGTGAGTTGGTAGCAGATCTGGAGCTGGGACCCAGGCCTGTATACTGCCAGTCAGCCCCTGCAGCTCTTTCAGGGCTCTGCGTATCATGTGTTTAGTATCTGACATTAATTAAACATTTGCTATGCGCTAGGCCCAGTGCTAAGCCCTTGGCATAGGCTATCTCATTTGATTTTCCCAATATTCCCATTTGGTCGGTTCTATTATTTATATCCATATTACAGATGTGGAACCTGAAGAATTAGGTTGTTCTCAGAACCGGGAAGCAGGCAAACTATAGATGTGCGGTTTGTTCTACAGGTTTGAAGCAGATCGGAATATGTCCTGAGAGGGAAAGACATTGGTGCAGTAGAAAGAGCACTGGAATTGGAGTCTAGGCCCTTGTACTAACCACGGGCAAGTCAGCTATTATTTTCTTCAATACGGAAACTTTAATTCCAAAGTCCAGTTTGTTCAAGGCAGGGGAGACTTTCTTCCCCTGGAAGCTCTCTGTGTACTATATGAAAAGTGCACTCAAGTTCGAGTAAAATTGGGAAAGTATGGTTATTCTGCATAGTCAGCGAATTCCAGACAGGGGGTGTGGTGCCAACAGTCTATAAGGGTTTTTCCTAAGAGCTTCAGGAAAAATTCCTTGCCAATAGTCTCATCAGGGCACCTAAACAGAAAATCACAACTGGACATCAGACCCGCGAGCTGAACGCTACCTCCATCCCGAGCCCTAAATGGCCAAGGGCGCACAGGACCCCAGGCACCCGTGCGTGTAACGGCACACGCTGCACACGCCCAGCTCCCCCTCCCCAACACACACACCTGAGGGCCGTCGCCCACACCCGCATCTCCCGAGACCGCATCGAGGACGAGTCCTCACGCTCGCTGAGCCCGTCGGCGCGCCCAGTCCCCAACCTCGGCCCGTACCTAAGCTCGCCCTCGCGGCCCACGTCGATGGGTCCGTCGGACTCGCCCTCGGAGCCGCTCGGCTCCCTGGGCCGCTTCATGGTGAGCGCAGGCTTCCAGGTCTCCGCCGGGCTGTGCTGCCTCCTAGCTAGGAAGTCGGCCCCGCCCTGGCCCCGCCCCGGCCCCGCCCCGGGGGCGCCGCCACCGCCCTTTCCCAGGGCCCTTTCCTGAGCCGCAGCCCCGGGCGGCCCGGCGCCCCCTCGCCCCCGCGGTGACGCGCCGGCCGAGGCGTGGGAAGGCCCCGGGCGGTCACCGCCCCCACCGACGGCTGGGAGGTCCAGCTCGGCCGCCTCGTGCTGGGTGGCCTTGGGCAGGTGCCCTTGTAGCCACCCCCACCCCTCCAGGGAAGCCAGGGGTCCCAGTCTGTCCCTAGTTCTCCCGGGGCGCTGTCTGTCTGTAGAGGCGCCGCTCCGCGCTGCCCCAGCTTCTGCAAAGGTCTACCCCTCCAGCTTCTGCCTCCCGGGGTTCTGGGGGCGGCAGACACGTCCGGTTTGGTGAGGTTGGTGGGGATGGCTGTGGCCTGATCCTCGACAAGAATCCCCCAGCAGTTTATCTTATAGGGGTCCAAAGCAAATGGAATGCGTGTGTGTGTGTTGGGGAGGAAGTAGTCAGAACTGTGAGAAGTGGCTGTCATTCCCAAAAGGGTCAGCTGAAGTTGTGGCTGCACCGCCTGAGCAGGACCGGCTCTGGCCAAGGTCTCTGGAGACTTGACTGGGTGATGGTGGAGCAGGGGGTGCCTCTGGGAATCAGTTCTCAGTTCACCAGAGGGGAGCTATCATGGGAACCCACGAGTGCCTGGAGGGTTCATTCTGAAGCTGTGGCACTGGCCTCAAAAGTGGGTCAGGAAGGCACCCTCCAGCTTCTCTAACAGATCGAACTGTTTACTCAGTGTGAGGCTCCTTAGGGAGGGGGACTCAGAGAAGATTCTGAGATTCACCTGCCATCCTCATGAGCCAGTACCTCAGAGGAACCCCTAAGGCTCTGAAGGAAGCAGATGGGAGCATCCTGGAAGGAGACTTCATGGGCAGAGAGGAGGAGATGGGAAGGTGGGCTTGATGTGGTGGGTCAGAGAAGTCCTTCCCTTTGACTCACCCACCAGGACCCAGAAGAAACCACCCCTTTATTTGAAGAGTGGAATTGGGCATCTGAGAATGACTGTACTTTCACCCCACGGCAAGACCTGCTTGAGGACACTTGATTATGGCTGTGGGAAAGAATATTCCCGTGCCCTCTTCTACATATGTCCACAGACACAACCACTTGGCCAAGTACACAAACACACTGACACACAGCTGGCATGAGCAGTCACTACCTTCAGCCTCTGCTTCCCCAGGAGGCCCCAGTGGTCACCCCAGACACACCTATGGATTCTTCTTCCAAATGCCCTCAGCACTCACATAACTTCTGTGGGCACATACCATTGGAGTGGAAACCTCAAGCAACACAGAAGTTGCACAATCCATGTACTGTGCATTCCCCAGAAAGGCAGAAATCAACTATGTCTCTCAGATATCTGCTCTGTGTGATTGAGAGCTAGGACCGGCAGTGTAGCGAATTTGCAGGGGACGGACAAAGGCTCTGTGGTGGGGTGTGTTCATATGAAATGCTCCATGTCATCAAAATGGGGTGCACAGTTAGGTGGTCTGGAGCTCAGAAAAGAGTTCTGCAGTGCGTATTTAAATGTGGAACTCACTAGATAATAGGATGGACTTAAAGCCATGGGAATAGATGGATTACCGAGAAAGTGTGGATGGAGACAGAGGAGTCTGACTAGTTAATATCTGGTAAGCATTATAACATCTGAAATTCTTTTGTAAGTATTAACTCCTTTAATTCTTGACAACTCTATAAAGTAGTAATATTATTATCATCCCCACTTTACAAATGAGAAACAAAGGGACAGAGAAGTGGAATAACTCTAGTTAAGATGGGCAGGTAGTAAATGAAAGGGCTGGAATTCAACAAGGCAATTTGGTTCCAGAGCCAAACCATTAAGCTTTATTACCTTATATAGAATAGCTCTTAAACATTAAGCTGTACTGAAACATTTGAAATGTTGCTTTCCAGCAATTGTCATCAATTTGGCCTCAATAAACTCCTGTAAAAATTCTCTACAGGTTTGGATGTTCTCACATTGAAAGGTAGAGGGGCGAATGGGAAGTTATTGTCTAATGGGTACAGAATTTCAGTTGGGGAAGATGGACAGTAGTAATGATTGCATGCACTGTGAATATACTTACTAGTACTGAATTGTACACAAAAATATGGTTGAAATAATAATTTTCTTGTTATATACATTTACCACAATTTAAAAAATCTGCTATTAGTTTTTAATTCACAAAAAACAAATACCATTAAGCTAAACTATCTAGTACTGAGCCTAAAGCTATGCCATCAATACAATAGCTACTAAGCTCCTGAAGTGTGGCTGGTCTAAATTGGTGTGTATAATAATTTTAAATGAGAATTAAAAAAATATATATATATAAAGTAAAAGCGCTGATATTTTTATATTGATTACCAGTTGAAATGATAATATTTTATACATCTTGGATTAAATGAAATATATTATTAAAATTTACTGGTTTTCTTTTTAGTACTTTTAATGTGAGTACTAGAAAAAATTTAATTGTATATGCAGCTCCCATTAGACAGTGCTAATCTAGTTCAGGGTTTCTTAACCTCAGCATTATTGACATTTTGGGCTGAAAAATTCTTTATCACATGGAGCTGCTTTGTGCATTGTAGAATGTTTAGCAGCATCCCTGGCCTCTACCCACTAAATGCCAGTGGTACCTGCCTAAGTTGTGACAATTCAGAATGTCTCTAGATAATACCAAACATATCCTGGGGGAGAAATCACTCGTTTAGAGAAACTCCAAGATTTAGACATGAACAGAAAAGAGAGAACTGTCAGAAGAGACTGGGAAGGAACAGCCAGGGAGGTGGAGGAGAGCAAGAGAGAGTGTTTCAGGAGGCAGAAGAGTGTTTCAAGTAGTTGGTCATGGTCCTTTAAAATATCGGTCAGATCATGTCACTTCCTGCTTAGAACCATCCATAGGCTTCCTCTCACATTTAGAATAAAATGTCAATGAGTAAGCAGGAGCAGAGATTATGGGCCATGGGGTACATGAGCTATTTCAAGGAGCTAGTATAGAGCAAGGTAGGAGGAGAACCCAGCATAGAAGCCTGGGGTACAGCCAGAGAAACTGTGAGAAGAAGGAAACTTGGGCAAGAATGGAGCACAAGGGGCCAAGGCCAGAGAGGGCCAAGAACAAGGAATTGGTCACCAGTCCAGGGACTCCAAGAGGAAGATGTGCAATTACAAGGTCGCAGAGGCCTTGGCATGAGTGGAGGAGGCAGAAGCAGGGGGTGCAGATCCATGAGTCGGGAAGTGTCTGAGGGAGGAGGGAGAAGCAGGCTTGGAGAAGGGGTGGGTCAGTGTGAGAGGGCACACAGGCAGCTCCAGAGGCCAGCAGGGCCTCAGGGGGGATTTGCTTGCTGATGGAGAGGAGCTTAGGAGTAAGCAGAGGGGAGCCCTGAGGAACCCAGGCCAAAGGGAGGGAGGCAGAGAGGGGTCCTATACCAGCCCCACTTTCTCCACTCGCCCTGACCTGGGGCTGAGAGCAGAAAGAGTTTTCAAGGGCAGTTTTCAGCTCCAGTGAATTTCCCCAATCCCTGACTCCCACATTAGGTCAGCCCTGTCTTCTCCCAGGGCTGGTATTCAGATTACTGAACTGACATGGCCTGGGCTCCAAATGTTTGGGTTGCACGTGGGCTATATGCTGAAACAGGGACCTCTGCTGGGTGGTGGAGGTACCTGGGGCGGTCCCAGAAGAGAAGAGGGTTAGCACAGAGGTGCTCTGGGCAGTAGTTTGTAGTTATTATTATGCAATCATTTATGTCTGTCTTTGACACATAAAGGCAGGAACCACATTGCGTTTGCTTATTGTCATTTCCTTTGTGCCTAGCAGTGTCTGGCACATAGTAGGTGTTTGATAAATATTGGCTGAGTAACTAGTGATAAGAAGCGGGGCTGGGGAGGCAGGGTGCTGAAGGCCTCTTCCTTCCCCATGGAGGAGGTGGTGCCTGGCCCCTGGGAAAACAGCAGAGTCACAGCAGGCAGAATCCCGGCACCTCCTGGGCAGAGGTGCTGAGGCAGAGAGGGCTGGAACACCTGGGCACCACTCAGTTTTCCTCTTGCGAGGCCTCGTCCCTCCCTTTGTGTCTGGGGACACAGATCCAAAGAGGGGCAGCAACATCCCTAGAGCCTCACAGTGAGGCAGGAGGCGAGCCAGGATTAGAGAAACGTTTCTGTGCCTTGGTTTTCTCATCTGTAAAAGGAGATAATAACAAAGCCACTCACTCTGAAGGCTCGTTGTAAGAATTAAACGAGTTAAGATGTGTAGAATAGTGCCTGGTGTTTAAATGAGAGCTTGGTAATGTTAGCATTTGGCTAAGACCATCTCCGTGCATTTTCTCCTTAGGAGGCTCATTTATTCCCATGGCTTTACCTCCTATAAGCCAATGACTCCCAAATTTATATTTCCAATGCAGACCTTTACTCTTTCTCGTACTCTTATGTTCATCCACTTATGTGCTGAGACCAAGCCAGCCTGTTCTGGGCCTGCCTGGAATATCCCCACTCCCCTTACCATCCACTCCAGGCTCTCTGTGCCAAGGCCCACAACTACAGGGCCTCCTGCCCAGATGTCAAGCTTCCCCATCACCACTTTCTTGCTTGCTGTTTAATCCTGAGAACAATATGAGCCTCCTTGCCTCAGCCCCTCCTTGACCCCTGTTCTCCCAGGCCCTTCCTGTCCTCCCTTTGCCCTCCTCCCCTGCTCCCTTGGGACCCATCAGCGCTCACTCTCCACCTCCCCAGCTGCTGCCACAGCTGGTCACTGACGGAATGTGCAGCTGTTGAGAGCCACATCTGTGGAACAGGAGGTGCAGAACCACCTCTGGGGCCTGCGGGGGTGGGAGTAGCGGCGGTGGGACCATCTGTCTGTGTCTGTCTGTCTAACACACACACACACACACACACACACTCCTGAGCTGCTTCTCCAGCG